TAGAATGACAGTTTCAGAAAGGGGCCTGAAACAGTCACAGGGTTAAATAATGAAATCATACATAAACATGAGCGAGGTGTGGGGGTTGTGGACTTGGCCAGGCAGTACCAGCGTAGGTCTTCTTCGATATGTACGATACTAAAGCAGGAGTCAATGAAGGCTATAGCGCCAACAAAGCAATAAAGTGTAACAATTAAGTTCATCAATAAAGTGTAACAATTAAGTTCATCAATAAAGTGTAGCAGTTAAGTTCAGTGATAAAGTATAGCAAGTAGCCTATCTTTTCCACCCTCCACCTTCACTTCCACCTCCGCCAGCATCTGTTCTCCAAGGTAAATACGTACACTTTATAAAACCAGTTTACTGCTTTACATTCTCTATTATGTTTTAATATATTTTTATACAGTATTTCTTATTTATAAATACATTGTTTCAGTGTTTTCCTTATGAAACTAGTGATCTAGCGCAGTTAGCCTCACAAACACTCCGTTTTCAGAAGGGGAAGAATGGGAAGATATGGTCAGAGAGGGAGCGGGTTTTATTAATTCTAAAGTGTATATCATGTTTCTATGTTATATATACTGTTTATTATGTCAAATTAGATCAATTGTGATAAGTAAGCCATGGAGCTGATATTAGCGTTATGGTGAAGTATTTTCTCCTGCCTCCTGACAGCAGGAATTCTGCTGGAACGGATAAATGGCATTTCAATTAATTACAATGAGAAAAAGTGATTTGATATACTACGAGCAAATTGAGTTACAAGCTAGGTCACGGAACGGATTAAACTCTTAAGTCAAGGTACCACTGTATATTAGAGCAGATTTTCTCTATTCTGTTTATTACAATATACAGTGGTACCTCATGTTTCAAACAGCCCCCAACTCGAACAATTATGCAAGTGTATTTTTGTAAGTACGTACTTTAGTAAGTGTATTTTTGGAGGTCTGAAACGGACTAATCTAATTTACATTATTCCACATGGGAACAAATTCGTTCGGCAACTGCACTCGAACAGCCTTCTGGAACGAATTAAGTTTGAAACTCAAGATACCACTCTACAGTACACTACTGTATAAACATTTAAAAATTATACCAGAAATGTTATAAATGGTACAAATGTGACATTCAAACAATATCAAAGATAGTTCACACAAACCCACTACCATTATATTATGCTCCTCACTTAGTGACATTCGTTTACTGACGTGGTCTTAGGAATGGAATTCCATCGTTAACCCCTTGACTGTTGCAACCCCAAATCCTGAGGTGTCTCCTGGTGTAAAAAAAAAAAAAAAAATTGAAATGGAGAATCTTTTCCCGATTGTAATGACACCAAAAGAACAAAATTTGATGGAAAACTGACGGAATTATGCTCTCATGAAGTTAGCGACCTCAGTAATATTTACGAATCGGCGATTTCGCCCACTTTGAGCCCTATTTTCGGCTAATTCCATTGTTCCAGTCGACCAAACTCATAGCTATTTCTTTAGAACTCCATTTTTTCTATCAACCGAGTACAAGAAACTGCCCATTTACTGATTTCAACTACCCAATAACATGGTCAGAATTTTGCAATTTGGCCAATTTCACGAAAATTAAAAATATGACAATTTCAAAATAGGGTCCAGAATGAACAATGCAGACATTCATGGCTCTAAAAATAACATTTTCTTTGATCATCAGTCACATCTCCAGACCCCTCTGATATTACTCTTGCTTTCTATTCTGAATTTTTATTCGAACAAAAAATGAAAGATTTACTGTTATGCAGACTACTGCAATATTGTAATAATTGTATAAATAATGTCAACCCATTCATGACTGCATATCAGAATGGCTACTTGGACATTTATTGAAAAATGACATTTGTTTACTTTTGAACATCGGCAAAAATCAAACATTTCCCCAACTTTGAGCTCCATTTTGAGGTTCTTTTCATAGTAAAACCAATCAAAATCGCTTCTATTTCTATAATATGTTTTCCATTCTATGAAATGAGACCAAGAAAACGAGAATATAACCATAAATACTATACGAAAATAGACCACAAAGTCGGCATTTTAATTAAAAAAAAAAAAAAAAAAAAAAAAGTCGGATTTTTTTTTCTCATTATGCACTGCGTGCTGCAGGATTTTTTTTTATATGGAACACACTGACCACACAGACCCATTCTCTCACATGTGGGCCTACCAGCTTTCTCCTGCTTGATTTGAAGCCGCTAGAATTTATGAGTATATACACATCAAAAAACGGTGGCTCGTAAGATGTATATATACGACCAAAACAGTCAAAGGGTTAAGTGAGAAGAGGCTGTATAGTATTTCTAATTAAAAAATTTAACCAAGGTATTTAATGTTGATGAAATGCATATACGTATAAAGATGAGTGTACAAGGTGATGTCAGGCAAAGATACAGACTTTTCCAATCAGCTGGTTCAGAGACTAGTTCAAGTACTGCATAACTAAATATAACCAGAATAATCCAACAATGCAATTTATGTTTAGGTTAGGTGAGGTTAATGACAATTTCACTAAATTTATACATATATGGATCAACTTTTCACCAGCAGGACAATATCAGAGCCTTCTCAAAAATATTCTCCATGGTTACCAATCAAGTCTCACAACATCTTACTCCACCGATACCTCCCTCATTAATCCAATGGTTTACTCGAGAACTCAAATATTGCAAGGCAATCTCAAAGGTATGGTGACCCCAGAAGTGCAAAAGGCATTCAATACAGTTAACCACAATATACTGGGGTTATCCTAGGTAATTTCCACATATGTTACTATGTATGATGACTCTAATCACCTAAATTTGAGTAACTTTATGTATAGCTGTACCTAAATAAAATCACTTGCATTTCAAAAGGCATTTGCAGAATACCTGCAACCAAGGTGAAGAGGAGCAAGCACTGACCATGGAATTTAATGCCAAGGTGCAATTTGGTCTATGGCTAGTGTGTAAACAAACTGTGGCCTCAAATACCCTATGTACCATCTAAACAATGCTCAGTCTGTGCAACACCTGAGTATCTTCACCTGGGAAATGTTTTGCCAGTCATAATAAAAATACCCAAGTGTTGCACAAGTTTCTTATTTAACAACTTCTTGTTATTCTAAACCATTTATTCAAATGTTCAGTTTATTTTTTAAGTGTCTCAATTCAAGATGAAGATCTCAGAATTGTTGTACTTTGTTTAAAAGCTGGAAGAAATCACCAGGGAAGGGCCAAGAATAAAAGGATGTGGATAGAAGTATTAAGGCCACCAAAGTCACAGACATTTTTACCATAAGAGCAGTAAATAACTGGAATAAACTTGATCAATTTTCCCAATCCACCATCCACAAAATTTTTAGTGGTTTATAAGACTTCAAAGTAAAAACTTTGCTATAAATAAAAATGGTCAGCAAAGCACAGAAGGTAATGCCTGCTGGGATATACATAGTAACACACTTTATATCATATTTAAAAAAAGAATTTATTCTTATCGGTAACCCCTGATTATTAGTAATTCAGGTTAATCCAAGAAAGCCAAGCAGTATGGCTTATTTCCACTGGAGTTCTTTTAAGGTCCTGCCCAAGGACACAACCAATGACAGATAACCATTCCTTAGTACAGTACATGTATCAATTTACTTACAGAATTTAACCTAGGCCCTTTCCATTGTGATCAGAACACACTACCACTGTGCTACAAGCTTTCTGCACTTGAAGAGCAGAACAGGCTGCCTGACCATGTGAAAGCCAGTCTCAGCATAAGCTAGTTTAGGAAGAAAACTACAAAGTACCTCAAGTGATGCCACAGAAAAAGGAGGAAAGTGAGCTCTTATATAGTAACTGTTACATTCAAACGTTTGTACGGTTAATATTAAAATTATTTTTCCTTTCTGATTCACATGTAATTTTTTTCACACGTTTGATTTACTCATACGCATTTTATTACTCGTATGCTTTTACTGTTAACAATCATGACAGATTTTTACTGTAATAGGCTGTTAAATGTAAGGTATGAAAAGGACTCCAATGGAAAGTCACTGTTTGATTTCTTTAAGTTATCCTAAGTATTTTACATGTACATAATGCTATGCACAACAATTACAATTTTTTTTGTAAAATCACACCTAAATATAATTGTTATTAAACCCTGTTTTGTTTCTGACTGAAATATTTTCCATGGAATGTATTATAAAAACTGAGAACCAAAGAAATATACTTCAGTTCACATCGACTACAACATGAAAGTAACATGCAACAAGGAAATGTAGGTTTGGAAGTACACAATGCAAGTCATTTTCTTCACAAAGGTATTTATTTGCTGGGGAAATCTTTTAATTGATTCATTCTAAATAGTCTATTAAGGCCATTATCCTTAATGCATAAAATTTTGCATATCTATTACAGTATTTTCAAAGTGCAAATTCTGAACCTGAATAAGGAATGCTAGTGGTCTCAATATTCCCGGGTCACCAACTGATCAATACTAATATTTTTACTGGGAAAGTTCTTCCATACATATATTTAGTAAAGTTATCAGCAATTACTAACCTAACCTAATCTAAAATAAACCAAAATTATATTCTTGCTTAAATGTGGTTAGTTATAGTTTAAAAAGTCACAAAACCTGCCGCCAAGAGATTTGAAGGGCTTTTGTTCCAAAAAATTTGATTAAAAGCCTTTCAAATCTCTTGGCGGCAGGTTACCCTAGGTTAAATCTACACAGTAAACTTTTTATGTATGTATATCACATATGCAATCAATACCATTGTTAAAAAAATGATGTACACGGCCTGAATAAAAATTTGACCATCCCACCAACACTAGCAAGGCACCGCCCCTTGAGCTTGTATCCAACACTTAAATCACTGAACCCTGTGTAAAAAAAGGAAATGACATCAACAGCATAAATGTCAAGGTTGTAATCAATATGCTTATCAGTTATATATCCCCGGGGCTGACGTCAGAGCAGCAGAACAAGTTACTGATGACTAACTTGTGTGTGGGAGGCGGTGGTGGCAGGGAAGTTCTCCTCTGACGACCCTCCTCCTGCCTGAACCTCTCCTGCAGGTTAACACGGCTGCCGGGGGTGCTCGGCTGGTAGTCCTGGCTCAGGTAATTCTTAGTGCGGGTGCTGTGGCGGGTGTTGAAGAAGGACCAGCTCCTGGAGAGTGTGGCTGCCATCACTGCCTGGGGCGCCGCTGCTGCCGCTCTGTTTCAAACACACCGCCGCCGCCGCCGCCGCCATCAACGGATAACCTGTAACTTTGCCAAACCTCTATACTAAAACCATAAGATTTCCAACTATAATGCAATTACACCTTAATATTTTTCATAAAACACTTATTAACTTATCAATTTCAATATGAAACAAACTTTCTTTTATATGTTTTATTGATAATTAGCGATGTAATGAAAGAGAGGTGGCACACTTAAATCTACATCATCCATAAGCAGGGCCGGATTACCGCATAGGCAAACTAGGCATTTGCCTAGGGCCCCGCACTTTGGGGGCCCCGCGGTCCAAGGGAATAATAGTGCTGTAGTGGTTATGCTGAATATAATAGTTACATGATGTCACTACTTTAATAGCCTAATCTAGTAATACTATGCTGTCTTGAGTTTATTCTCTTTAAAATGCATGATTTAACAAGATAGTTATAATGGCTGTTGGTAAATGGTTTTGGTTGTCTTGATGTACTTTCCCTATTAAATTTAATCTAAATAGCCAGAATGTATTTAATTAGACCTTAAACAGGCTCACACCAACCCCCCCCCACCCTCAAGCTGGAAGGGGTCGCTTCGCTTACCCGTCCCCTCAAGGAAGGTTCCTTGATGTTGGTGAGGGGCTCTTGATTTAGGGAATTGGATCTTTGCTCCAGTTCCCCGAATTAAGCCTGAATGCCTTCCACATCCCCCCCCCAGGCGCTGTATAATCCTCCGGTTTAGCGCTTCCCCCTTGATTATAATAATAATAATTCGCTTACCTGTAACTCAAAGGGGCCCCGCCAATCTGAATAGCCTAGGGCCCGGAGACTTCTTAATCTGGCCCTGTCCATAAGTAAGTTTATTCAGGTATACACAAATACAGTTACATAGATTATCATACATAGCAGCATATGTGTAAAGTACCTAGGATAACCCAAAAAAAAGTCAGAGTGACTTATTTCCATTGGGTGAGTGCTGATCAGACTCCATCAACGGTCATGATGTAATGAGGAGTAACTCACTATTCACCTTACATTCCTAGGGCGCTTTATGACCCTTATGGGTCGTGAAGTATCCAGGGTCTGAGTAAGTTTTCTTCTCCCTCTATTTGCAAATACTTCTTTTTAATTAATGGTTATTGTATCACCAATTCACCATTATACTGACCAATAACCATGAAAGTGTGTAAGAAATTTCACATACATACTGAAAATCACAAGTTTCAAAAGACGATTTCTTTGATTTTTGCAACATCTTATGAGTTTTAAGTACCCCCCTCCAGATTAAATTCCTAGATTAATGAAGCCTTTCCCCAGATTGAAATCCTGGCTGTGCTACTGTTTAAGATAACATAATATTTTGTTCTGATTTAACCCCGGAGGGTTAGCCACCTTGGATAACCCAAGAAAGGCCATCGAAGGACTGTCTGTCTTATTTCCATTGGGGTCCCCATTCTTGTCCCCCAACATGCTACCCACACCAGTGGTGTGGGTACCTGGAGTTTACCTGGAGAGAGTTTCGGGGGTCAACGCCCCCGCGGCCCGGTCTGTGACCAGGCCTCCTGGTGGATCAGCGCCTGATCAACCAGGCTGTTGCTGCTGGCTGCACGCAAACCAACGTACGAGCCACAGCCCGGCTGATCAGGAACTGACTTTAGGTGCTTGTCCAGTGCCAGCTTGAAGACTGCCAGGGGTCTGTTGGTAATCCCCCTTATGTGTGCTGGGAGGCAGTTGAACAGTCTCGGGCCCCTGACACTTATTGTATGGTCTCTTAACGTGCTAGTGACACCCCTGCTTTTCATTGGGGGGATGGTGCATCGTCTGCCAAGTCTTTTGCTTTCGTAGTTTACCTGGAGTTTACCTGGAGAGAGTTTCGGGGGTCAACGCCCCCGCGGCCCGGTCTGTGACCAGGCCTCCTGGTGGATCAGCGCCTGATCAACCAGGCTGTTGCTGCTGGCTGCACGCAAACCAACGTACGAGCCACAGCCCGGCTGATCAGGAACTGACTTTAGGTGCTTGTCCAGTGCCAGCTTGAAGACTGCCAGGGGTCTGTTGGTAATCCCCCTTATGTGTGCTGGGAGGCAGTTGAACAGTCTCGGGCCCCTGACACTTATTGTATGGTCTCTTAACGTGCTAGTGACACCCCTGCTTTTCATTGGGGGTATGGTGCATCGTCTGCCAAGTGAGTGATTTTCGTGTGCAAGTTCGGTACTAGTCCCTCTAGGATTTTCCAGGTGTATATAATCATGTATCTCTCCCTCCTGCGTTCCATGGAATACAGGTTTAGAAACCTCAAGCGCTCCCAGTAATTGAGGTGTTTTATCTCCGTTATGCGCGCCGTGAAAGTTCTCTGTACATTTTCTAGGTCGGCAATTTCACCTGCCTTGAAAGGTGCTGTTAGAGTGCAGCAATATTCCAGCCTAGATAGAACAAGTGACCTGAAGAGTGTCATCATGGGCTTGGCCTCCCTAGTTTTGAAGGTTCTCATTATCCATCCTGTCATTTTTCTAGCAGATGCGATTGATATAATGTTATGGTCCTTGAAGGTGAGATCCCCCGACATAATCACTCCCAGGTCTTTGACGTTGGTGTTTCGCTCTATTTCGTGGCCAGAATTTGTTTTGTACTCTGATGAAGATTTAATTTCCTCATGTTTACCATATCTGAGTAATTGAAATTTCTCATCGTTGAACTTCATATTGTTTTCTGCAGCCCACTGAAAGATTTGGTTGATGTCCGCCTGGAGCCTTGCAGTGTCTGCAATGGAAGACACTGTCATGCAGATTCGGGTGTCATCTGCAAAGGAAGACACGGTGCTGTGGCTGACATCCTTGTCTATGTCGGATATGAGGATGAGGAACAAGATGGGAGCTAGTACTGTGCCTTGTGGAACAGAGCTTTTCACCGTAGCTGCCTCGGACTTTACTCTGTTGACGACTACTCTCTGTGTTCTGTTAGTGAGGAAATTATAGATCCATCGACCGACTTTTCCTGTTATTCCTTTAGCGCGCATTTTGTGCGCTATTACGCCATGGTCACACTTGTCGAAGGCTTTTGCAAAGTCTGTATATATTACATCTGCATTCTTTTTGTCTTCTAGTGCATTTAGGACCTTGTCGTAGTGATCCAGTAGCTGAGACAGACAGGAGCGACCTGTTCTAAACCCATGTTGCCCTGGGTTGTGTAACTGATGGGTTTCTAGATGGGTGGTGATCTTGCTTCTTAGGACCCTTTCAAAGATTTTTATGATATGGGATGTTAGTGCTATTGGTCTGTAGTTCTTTGCTGTTGCTTTACTGCCCCCTTTGTGGAGTGGGGCTATGTCTGTTGTTTTTAGTAACTGAGGGACGACCCCCGTGTCCATGCTCCCTCTCCATAGGATGGAAAAGGCTCGTGATAGGGGCTTCTTGCAGTTCTTGATGAACACAGAGTTCCATGAGTCTGGCCCTGGGGCAGAGTGCATGGGCATGTCATTTATCGCCTGTTCGAAGTCATTTGGCGTCAGGATAACATCGGATAGGCTTGTGTTAATCAAATTTTGTGGCTCTCTCATAAAAAATTCATTTTGATCTTCGACTCTCAGTCTGGTTAGCGGCTTGCTAAAAACTGAGTCATATTGGGACTTGAGTAGCTCACTCATTTCCTTGCTGTCATCTGTGTAGGACCCATCTTGTTTAAGTAGGGGCCCAATACTGGGCGTTGTTCTCGATTTTGATTTGGCATAGGAGAAGAAATACTTTGGGTTTCTTTCGATTTCATTTATAGCTTTTAGTTCTTCCCGCGATTCCTGACTCCTAAAGGATTCTTTTAGCTTAAGTTCGATGCTTGCTATTTCTCTGACCAGTGTCTCCCTGCGCATTTCAGATATATTGACCTCTTTTAGCCGCTCTGTTATTCTTTTCCGTCGCCTGTAAAGGGAGCGCCTGTCTCTTTCTATTTTACATCTACTCCTCCTTTTTCTTAGAGGAATAAGCCTTGTGCATACATCGAGTGCCACCGAGTTAATCTGTTCTAGGCATAAGTTTGGGTCTGTGTTGCTTAGTATATCTTCCCAGCTTATATCGGTTAGGACTTGGTTTACTTGGTCCCACTTTGTTTTTGTTACTGAAGTTGAATTTGGTGAATGCTCCCTCGTGACTAGTCTCATTTTGTCGGTCTGGGGCTCCTCGCATACATGTCTGAACCTCAATTATGTTGTGATCCGAGTATATTGTTTTTGATATGGTGACATTTCTTATCAGATCATCATTGTTAGTGAATATGAGGTCTAGTGTATTCTCCAGTCTAGTAGGCTCTATTATTTGCTGGTTTAAATTGAATTTTGTGCAGAGATTTAAAAGCTCGTGTGAGTGTGAGTTTTCATCAGAGCTGCCTCCTGGTGTTATTACTGCAACAATATTATTTGCTATATTCCTCCATTTTAGGTGCCTTAAGTTGAAATCCCCCAGGAGCAAGATGTTGGGTGCAGGAGCTAGAAGATTTTCCAGACAGTGGTCAATTTTTAACAGCTGTTCCTGGAATTGCAGCAAGTAGGTACTTGGGTACCTACTTGCTGCTAGGTGAACAGGACAACAGGTGTAAGGAAACGCGTCGAAATGTTTCTATCCTGCCGGGAATCCAACCCGGGCGTCCGTGTTAGTTTAATATGTTCATTATGCACCCCATACCCATCCTGTGGGCGGTAGTCAAAAGATAACAAAGGTACATAATGGGTCCAGGGTGTGAAGTGAGAGCTTTACCAGCCAGTCCACGGAGTCACCTATCCATTTATCATCCAGAAACCATTTCACCAGTGTTACCGAAGCTAATAACAGTAATAAAATAGTACTTGGTGTGGAGTGACGAAAATGAGAAAATTCTTCTTTTATTGAAATACGAGAAGTATACAGTTACTTGTGGAAAAGACGTAAGATAAGACCTGGAAAAGGCCTTCGATACTGTCAACCATAATATATTATGTAAGAAACTTCAACTTATCGGTATAGGTTCTGTAGACTGGGTTAAGTCCTACCTTAGCAACGGGAGACAAAT